GGAGTTGCGGGGGGAGGGGACGGAACAATTTATTAATGGCACTTTTATCACTGACCAGCTGCTCTCTCCTCTCTATAAAAAGCTCATTACATGCGATAGTAACAAGCTAATTGATTACTAATTGAATGAATTGGCACAGCGGCTGCTGTCAGCCGGTGACATACGAGGGGACTGCGGGATGAATGATATCTCTGGTGGTCACCCGCAGGACACCCAGCTTCATGCCGATTGGCTGCTGGTGGCCAGATGAAGGGAGTCTGGGGAGCCCAGGCGGCTCCTGCTGCCCCCTGCTGGGCTGTGTTGGCACTGCCCTGCCCATTGTCTTCACCGCCCGTCCGGAACCTCGTCTGTTACGGATATCGGCCATTGTTTCTGGGTCGGACGCGAGCCGCGCATCGCTCTCCGCACGTCGCACCGTCTTCTTCACACATTGCCCAAATCTCACTTCTAAAATAAAATGTTCTCCATGGAATTCAATGTATCAGATCGGAGAAGATGAGATGTATTATCCTCAGCCGGTGTCTGATTGGTGCAGAGGGCACCTCAGACAGTCCGTCGTCTCCTCATCCGGGACTGAAGATGTAATTTTCGCTCCCATGACGCAATGCGGGATCTCGTTTCTGCTGGGGTGGGGGCGGGGACACACAGCAGGGGTTGGGTGACCACCAATGCTGCTCTACCAAGGAGGTCACCAGGATCCTGCAGCGCTACAAGCCGGAGTTCTCCCGACTGACCGTCATATGGCCGGACCTCAGACGCGGCACGTGTGGTCGGGAGGGACATGGCGACCATGTGAAGGTCAGAGAGTGACATGTAGGTCGGATGGTGATGACTCCACCTGGATTCTGCAGCTACTACCACTCCTGTAACACCTGGGAGCAGGGAGGAGGAGCACTGTCCAGGGGCCCAGAGCTGAAGGGGCCCCGCCAACAGGCTCCGCCCCATTTCCCCGCGGTGCGCTCACAATACAGAAGAGGAGATCACATGGTGTATGGGGGACCAGTCACCACTAGAGGAGATCACATGGAGTATGTGGGACCAGTCACCACTAGAGGAGATCACATGGAGTATGGGGGACCAGTCACCACTAGAGGAGATCACATGGTGTATGGGGGACCAGTCACCACTATGGGAGATCACATGGTGTATGGGGGACCAGTCACCACTAGAGGAGATCACATGGAGTATGGGGGACCAGTCACCACTAGAGGAGATCACATGGTGTATGGGGGACCAGTCACCACTAGGGGAGATCACATGGTGTATGGGGGACCAGTCACCACTAGAGGAGATCACATGGAGTATGGGGGACCAGTCACCACTAGGGGAGATCACATGGTGTATGGGGACCAGTCACCACTAGAGGAGATCACATGGAGTATGGGGGACCAGTCACCACTAGAGGAGATCACATGGTGTATGGGGGACCAGTCACCACTAGAGGAGATCACATGGTGTATGGGGGACCAGTCACCACTAGGGGAGATCACATGGTGTATGGGGGACCAGTCACCACTAGAGGAGATCACATGGTGTATGGGGGACCAGTCACCACTAGGGGAGATCACATGGTGTATGGGGGACCAGTCACCACTAGAGGAGATCACATGGTGTATGGGGGACCAGTCACCACTAGGGGAGATCACATGGTGTATGGGGGACCAGTCACCACTAGAGGAGATCACATGGTGTATGGGGGACCAGTCACCACTAGAGGAGATCACATGGTGTATGGGGGACCAGTCACCACTAGAGGAGATCACATGGTGTATGGGGGACCAGTCACCACTAGAGGAGATCACATGGTGTATGGGGGACCAGTCACCACTAGGGGAGATCACATGGTGTATGGGGGACCAGTCACCACTAGAGGAGATCACATGGTGTATGGGGGACCAGTCACCACTAGGGGAGATCACATGGTGTATGGGGGACCAGTCACCACTAGAGGAGATCACATGGTGTATGGGGGACCAGTCACCACTAGGGGAGATCACATGGTGTATGGGGGACCAGTCACCACTAGGGGAGATCACATGGTGTATGGGGGACCAGTCACCACTAGGGGAGATCACATGGTGTATGGGGGACCAGTCACCACTAGGGGAGATCACATGGTGTATGGGGGACCAGTCACCACTAGGGGAGATCACATGGTGTATGGGGGACCAGTCACCACTAGGGGAGATCACATGGTGTATGGGGGACCAGTCACCACTAGGGGAGATCACATGGTGTATGGGGGACCAGTCACCACTAGGGGAGATCACATGGTGTATGGGGGACCAGTCACCACTAGGGGAGATCACATGGTGTATGGGGGACCAGTCACCACTAGGGGAGATCACATGGTGTATGGGGGACCAGTCACCACTAGAGGAGATCACATGGTGTATGGGGGACCAGTCACCACTAGAGGAGATCACATGGTGTATGGGGGACCAGTCACCACTAGGGGAGATCACATGGTGTATGGGGGACCAGTCACCACTAGAGGAGATCACATGGTGTATGGGGGACCAGTCACCACTAGAGGAGATCACATGGTGTATGGGGGACCAGTCAGTTAAATCTTTAATAAATGAGGTCACATGGTTCCTGAAGTCAGCGGTCACAGAAATCACTTCAACGACCAGCAAAGCTTACACTCTACTACTCCACCTCAAAATATTGTTCACAGTATGGGGGCGGAGTTTTCCACGCTCCGCCTCCATCTGGAGTATATAAAATATCGGTCACAATGAGCAGATATTTAATTCAAAGCGCGTTTCTCTGAGCGAGCGAATGGCGTTTATCGCGGCGGGACACGAGAGTGCGTCGGAACGTCTCATTGTTCCGTCTTATCTCTGCTGATAATTCTTCTCAACGACTCGCCGAAAATGTTTTCCTTTTTCTTTTATTGAGACGCAGCGCTCGGAGGCGGCGACCTTTATGTCGAGGGCTCGTCTCATTCTCTCATATAAAGTGCAAATATTATAGATTAATTAATCCGATGTGATTATAATTTAATCACTTCCAGTCACCGGGGAGACGGCGGCTTTTATCCCTCTCTCAATTACAGGGCGGGGGAGGGGCGCTAATTTGTGTCGTTCAGCTAATGATAGATGATAATAAATAAATCCCATCCCTGGTGAGAATCGACCAATCCTCAGGCTCCGCCATCGGAATAATGTCCCCTGGAGGCTCCGCCCTTGGTATAACCCCCCTGGAGGCTCCGCCCTCGGAAACCCCCCTGGAGGCTCCGCCCTCGGAAACCCCCCTGGAGGCTGCGCCCTGGGAATAATGTCCCCTGGAGGCTCCGCCATCGGAATAATGTCCCCTGGAGGCTCCGCCATCGGAATAATGTCCCCTGGAGGCTCCGCCATCGGAATAATGTCCCCTGGAGGCTCCGCCATCGGAATAATGTCCCCTGGAGGCTCCGCCATCGGAATAATGTCCCCTGGAGGCTCCGCCATCGGAATAATGTCCCCTGGAGGCTCCGCCATCGGAATAATGTCCCCTGGAGGCTCCGCCATCGGAATAATGTCCCCTGGAGGCTCCGCCATCGGAATAATGTCCCCTGGAGGCTCCGCCATCGGAATAATGTCCCCTGGAGGCTCCGCCATCGGAATAATGTCCCCTGGAGGCTCCGCCATCGGAATAATGTCCCCTGGAGGCTCCGCCATCGGAATAATGTCCCCTGGAGGCTCCGCCATCGGAATAATGTCCCCTGGAGGCTCCGCCATCGGAATAATGTCCCCTGGAGGCTCCGCCATCGGAATAATGTCCCCTGGAGGCTCCGCCATCGGAATAATGTCCCCTGGAGGCTCCGCCATCGGAATAATGTCCCCTGGAGGCTCCGCCATCGGAATAATGTCCCCTGGAGGCTCCGCCATCGGAATAATGTCCCCTGGAGGCTCCGCCATCGGAATAATGTCCCCTGGAGGCTCCGCCATCGGAATAATGTCCCCTGGAGGCTCCGCCATCGGAATAATGTCCCCTGGAGGCTCCGCCATCGGAATAATGTCCCCTGGAGGCTCCGCCATCGGAATAATGTCCCCTGGAGGCTCCGCCATCGGAATAATGTCCCCTGGAGGCTCCGCCATCGGAATAATGTCCCCTGGAGGCTCCGCCATCGGAATAATGTCCCCTGGAGGCTCCGCCATCGGAATAATGTCCCCTGGAGGCTCCGCCATCGGAATAATGTCCCCTGGAGGCTCCGCCATCGGAATAATGTCCCCTGGAGGCTCCGCCATCGGAATAATGTCCCCTGGAGGCTCCGCCATCGGAATAATGTCCCCTGGAGGCTCCGCCATCGGAATAATGTCCCCTGGAGGCTCCGCCATCGGAATAATGTCCCCTGGAGGCTCCGCCATCGGAATAATGTCCCCTGGAGGCTCCGCCATCGGAATAATGTCCCCTGGAGGCTCCGCCATCGGAATAATGTCCCCTGGAGGCTCTGCCATCGGAATAATGTCCCCTGGAGGCTCCACCCTCGGAATAATGTCCCCTGGAGGCTCCGCCCTCAGAATAATGTCCCCTGGAGGCTCCGCCCTCGGAATAATGTCCCCCTGGAGGCTCCGCCCTCAAAATAATGTCCCCTGGAGGCTCCGCCATCCGAATAATGTCCCCTGGAGGCTCTGCCCTCGGAATAATGTCCCCTAGAGGCTCCGCCATCCGAATAATGTCCCCTGGAGGCTCCGCCATCCGAATAATGTGCTCTGGAGGCTCCGCTATCGGAATAATGTCCCCTGGAGGCTCCGCCATCGGAATAATGTCCCCTGGAGGCTCCGCCATCGGAATAATGTCCCCTGGAGGCTCCACCCTCGGAATAATGTGCTCTGGAGGCTCCGCTATCGGAATAATGTCCCCTGGAGGCTCCGCCATCGGAATAATGTCCCCTGGAGGCTCCGCCATCGGAATAATGTCCCCTGGAGGGGATTAGGACAAGAGATGCGGGGCGGCTGCCCTGGGCGCCCTGTGCTATTGATGCCCCTCCCCTATGTGCCCACCAACATTTCAGCCCCTGAGACACAAATTGCTCCTGCCAAGACCCTCCCTACTTTCAGTGGACCATTCAAACCCCGCCTCTGATTATGCAGGGACCGCCCACACATTGCCCAACACAACACCCCCCTTCATCCCCAACACAGCGCCCCCCTTCATCCCCCA